ACTTTATTTTGTTTAATTAACATTGGCCTTTCTTAGTTAGTTTTTGTACAATTTAAGACTAATTCTTGAACAATTTTAAAAGTGCAATCTAATATTAATATGATATATTCAAGAAAATTAATTTTTTTTATAAAAATAATATAATTATAATATTATATAATAGGATAATGATATGTGCACACCCGGATCCCACACCTGAGCGTCACACACCATATAAACAAAAAAAGAAAACCCATCACCCGGTCCAACTTTTTTCTTTTTATGTGGGGGTGCACGTGTGGGATCTGGGTGTGCACTAATCAGTGTCCTATATAATATTATAATTAAAAAAATTAATGACCCATAACATTCATTTAATAACACATTAGCACATCATAATTGTAAACTTATAATATTATAGGGCTATTTGGCATAGTGGTTTCATTTAATTCAACAAATAAGAGTGTTTAAATTATTAATAATAATAATTATCAATCATTAAATTAGATGAAACTATTAGTTGTTAATTTCAAATCACTATACTAATTAAACAACTTATATATAACATTGTAATTGTAACATTATTATCATTTAAATTGATGCTTAAAACACATAGAGATTGAGTTGTTGATGTTATTGATTATAAATAAATTGAGATTGATGGTCATCAAAAGAAAAAAAAAGAAAAAAGAAGAGATTGCAAATAAATAGAGATGTTTATCACCAATAAGTAAAATAACTCCTCAATAAGAATAAAAGATTTTGGGTTAGAGTCACGAGATAAAAAAAAATGTTTACTAATTAATTTAAAATGAAATTCCTCTTATAACCCTATTTTGTTGAGTTTAAATGTCTAAACAAATATTTAAACTTTAAGTCTTGGAATAGGACTCAGAATTTAGGAGTATTTATTTATTTATTATTATTTTTTTGCCAGCTAGGAGTTCTTTACAACAACATAAATTCTTGGACAAATTAAGGGTGAGTTCGCAGTGTATGAATTACTACAAATATTTATTTGTTATAGTAATAAAATTATTAATTTCAATTAATATTTAACAATTATACAAATTTACAACACTTTAATTAAAACAATATCACAACACTAATATAATTTTGAATTTGAACAATGACACCATACAACCAGAAGGCCTAACCAAAAAAAAACATACAATCACACTTAAGTACTGTAATCTTGAGGAAACCTTACAGATTAACTGACCATTAATTGACAAAACCTCATTCTCTCTCACGCCCCTCCCAATTGGTTTGTCCCTTAAAAAAAAAAAAAAAAATAGCAAATCCCAAACCTTATTATAATTACTATATATTATATCTTTGTTTAGCACAAATATCAGACTTTATTTATCAATCACTGCTATTCCTTTATTTGTTCCTTGCTTCTGAATCACCTCCCTGCAAATAAAAGCATGGAAAATTAGGGAAGGGAAACTAGTAGGATTAATGGGATTCGGTTTTAAAGCAAATATTAAATTTACGAGAGATAAATAGTATTTTTAGAGTAAATATTTTTTAAAACTTTTTATTGGTCCTCGTAATAAAAATTAATGGGTTGGGTTAAAAAAAAACAAAAAACAAACAAACCTGAGGGCTCGAGTGAGACTGACTGCAGTGCAGCAGTGGCGAAGTCCCCTGCTTCACGACCCTTGAGGATTTTGAATACAAGAGCGAGCAGAAGCTGACTCCTAGCTTTCTGCTTCGCAATCGCCTCCGTTTCCTCTCTCAACCTGGCGCATTCCTCTTTAATTTGTTCCAACTTCCCTCGTATTTCTGTTTGGTCTTTTCTAATTCGTTTCTGATCTATACTGATCCCCGCCATCTCCACTCTCAGTGGCTTCATGATTATTCTCAATTCTTTCTGCTTCCTTGGCCATGTGGATCGAGAAAACCCTCTTCGGTTTCTGGATTCAACGTGAATTCTTCTACTCAGAGCCATGGATGCTAACTTTGATTTGTGCGTCGTACAGTGTTGTACTCTGTTTTGCTGATGATCTGATTCTTCTAATGGTAAGTGTATTTATAATCATCAAACCCAAGAAAATTAGAAGAAGAAAACGAGAAAGTGGACAGAAGAACAAGAAAACTTCTTTAGT